ATAATTAATTATGTGATCATGCTATAATGTAATGTTATAATTAATTAAATTTTTAATCATTTAATTAAGTAATGTAATAATGTAGTAAATTACTAAATACTAATATTTATAATGGAATATTATAAATTTATAACTAATTAAGTAATCATTTAACTATGGAATGCTATAATTAATTAAGTGATTATAATATAATGTAATGTAATAATATTATAATTTAATTAAGTAATTATTTAACTACAATGTAATGTTTAATTAATTAGATTTCTAATAATTTAATTAAGTAATCATTTGTTTATAATTAATATTTATAATGTAATGTCATAATCAATTAAATAATCATCTAATTATGTAATGTTATAATTAATTATGTAATTATACTATAATGAAATGTTATAATGAATTAAATAATCATACTATAAATATTTAATATAATACTATAATTAATTAATTTATAATAGAATGTTATAATTAATTAAGTAATCATTTAATTATAATGTAATGTTATAATTAATTAAGTAATCGTACTATAGATTTGTAATGTAATGTTATAATTAATTAAAATTCTAATCATTTAATTAAGTATTGTGCTAATATTTATGTAGTAAATTAATAATTACTAATGTTTATAATATAATATCATACTCAATTAAGGCTCTATTTGGTTCCCTTTTGAGAATACTACTATTAGTATTTCCAATAAAGTTAAACAATAAAATTGCAAAAACTCACAATATTATTCAACTTTTTTTAAACCCTCTAAATTTGTTAATTTAATTAAAAACCCCTAAATATTTTTTTAAAAATTGCAAAAAAAACCCCAGCAACCCATATTTACCAGATTCCGGCCACCACCGTCAGAAAATGGCTGGAATCTAGTATAATGACGCACTATTGGCTAATCTGGCCGGAAAAGGACATATCGGTGCACGACCGGCAATATCGAGCCGGTCATACACCGATATGACAGCTCCGGCCACTCTCCGGCAGTGGTGGCCGGCTGTCCTTATTTATGAGTGGATTGGGGGTGTTTTGTTAATTCTGAATATTATATTTGGGGTTGTTTAGTAAATAAATAAATATAGGGGGTATTTATATTAATTTTTAAAATTCTACATCGTAATACCCACCCAATTTAATTTTTTTCAAAAGATTATTCTAAAAACTACCCAATAATGAACCAAACGAAGCCTAAGTAATCATTCAATTATGTAAAGTTATAATTAATTATATGATCATACTATACTGTAATGTTATAGTGAATTAAGTAATCATATTATAAATCTTTAAAGTAATATTATAATTAATTAAATCTTTAATCATTTATTTAAGTATTGTACTAATGTTTATAATGAAATGTTATAATTGATTAAGTAATTATACTATAAATCGATAATGTAATACTATAATTAATTAAATTTCTAATTATTTAATTAAGTAATATACTAAATGTTATAAGTCAATAAATTAAGTAGTAATCAATTAATGTAATGCTATAATTAATTATACTATAAATCAATTAAATAATGTTATAAAATTATAATTAATTAAGTAATCATTTAACTATAATGTAATGTTATAATTGTTTAGGTATGATATTTAACTAGTAAATAACTATAATGTTATAGTTAATTATATTTGATAAATTGATCATATATAATTAATTAATTGCTAATTTATTATAGATATACTTAGAACTTAATAGTTGAAGTAAATAACTAAATATATAATTATTTAATCAAATATACTATTTTATTCAAAAGTAATTCTTTTAATAACATTAAAACACTTTTAATTGGATTCTAATTCCAATTATATACTTAATTAATCAAAACTTTAATATTAATATATTGTAATATATTAAAGTTTTTAATATGGTATAGTTTATATGTAATAAGTATAATTATATATTTATTTAATTAGGTTATTCTAAAAATTTAACTTTTCTATTTTAAATTTTTTTATATGTAAAATAATAGAAACCCCCAATTATTTGCAACCCAGGTTCTAAAAATCAGTTCCAAACAGGTTCTAAACCGGGTACCCATTACAGGTTTCAAGCAGGTTCCAAACTGGGTACCCGCTACAGGTTTCAAGCAGGTTCCAAACCGAGTACCCGTTTCAGGTTCTTTTTCTAGGTTTCGGTTCCGGTTCCTCCACACATAAGAACCGGAACCGCATAGTATCGGTTCCAATAAAATGGAACCGGAGCCTACCCATACAGTGTCGGTTCCGGTTCTACCCACTATCCGTGCTCACCCCTAGTTAAAATATAACTTTTACTTTTATATCATTATCCAATTAACCAAAAGCCTTTTAAATAAGGAACACATCAACGAGAAATAAATTGAAAAACAGTAACAACTAACTCATATTCTACGGCACTACTAAAATGCCTAAATACTAGATCTAACAAGTTGATTTCTAAGGACCCAAATCAAAGACAACTTTGAAAAAATTGGTAACAAAATATCCTTTAAACTGATGTTTTTTCCTTAATTTACCAGTACAACAATCAAACTTCACTTAATTTCCTTACGATAGAAAACCCTAACTCACTATTCTGTTAATAATAGCAACAGATTCTACATGAAAAAACAAAATAATGGTTCCATTTTTTGGCATTCTCTCGAAATAGACTATTTAAGAAATTAAACACTTGTATTTCACAATAAACCTACTCTTTATAATCTTAACAGTCAACAATAGTAACAAAAAAATAAACAAGACAAAACATAAAAAAGAAATAAGACAAATGCTATAATCATTTTTGGAGTAAGTCGCAACAATAATACCAGACGCCACTAACACAACTTTCAAACTTTGAAGAGAGAAAGAAATTAACAATGCCACTGAACGAACACAAAACAAAATGGGAAACACAAAAAGGAAAACCTAAACAAACAGATAAACCAGTTAAATGCCCGATAAAAAAAAAAAAACAGTTTAACAATTACAAATAAACCGGTCCAGACATGCCGGTTTACACTTGCAAATAATTTAGTAAATTACTAAAACATATTGCTATTATTACTAAAAATTGGCAAGACAATTTCCATATAATTGTACCTATTGTTGAACAATCCTATTTAATCCTACAATTTTTAACACTGCGTAACAATCTTGTTTAATGTTAACAGTCAAAGATGCAAAGTCATTAGTTTCTATCACATTAACAAATTGAAAAATATTTATTTATATCAACAATAAATATATAAATTTATTTCATATATAATATTTTATTTATTGATTTTTTAAAGTATCAATTAAACATAAAATAAACTTTAATATAGAAAATAAATATTTAAAACACACGCACAAAAAAAGTAATTAAATATAAATTGAACTTCAATACAGAAAATATATATTTAAAACACACACAAAAAAAAAAAAAAAAAAAAAGTAATGTAAACGAAATATAATAAACATATCTGCACAATGTGCAAGCCTTCCGTCTAGTTTTTAATATTTTCAAAAAAACAAATAAAAATTTATAAAATTCAATAAAGAACATTCAGGTGCGTCTGTTTCCCCTATCCTATTTCTATCATTTCCAAAATACACATTTGTTTCCCTATTCTGAAAATACTATTATATTTTATTCAATTATTTTTAAACCCCCTAAGTTTGTTAATTTAACTAAACACCCCCTAAAAAAAGTTTAAAAATTGATAAAAACACCCCCACCCAACCACATTTGCCAGATTTCGGCCACTACTGCCGGAAGGTGGTCAGAATCTGGTATAATGGTACATTACTGGCTGGATTTGATCAGTAGTGCGTCGATCTGACCTTTTTTGGCCAGATCGATGGCCAAAGATATGGCCATCGTTGATGGTCAACGACTAAAGATCTAGCCGTTAACGACCAGATCTTTGGTCATAGATCTGGTCGTTAACGGCTAGATCTTTAGTCGTTGACCATCAACGATGGCCATATCTTTGGCCATTGTTGACAACCAAACACGGCTAGATCTGGTCATCAATGGCCAGATCTAGTCGTAGATTTGGCATTTTCCGGCCAAATCCATGGTGGATCTGGTTGGAAAAGGTTATCTCGGCGTAAGATTAGTCAAATCTAACCGATCGTGCGGCTATACAACGACTTCGACCACCCTCCGGTGGTGGTGGTCTACTGCTGGTATTTAATGGGTGAATGGGTTTTTTTTTTTTTTTTTGTAATTTTTAATGTTTTTATTACACGAGTGTTTAGTAAATTAACAAACTTAGGGAGTGTTTTTGTTAATTTTCAAATTTTACCTCGTTATTACTATCCAACTCTCATTTTTTTTAAAAAACTATCCAAAATACTAAAACAAACGCACCCGAAGTTAATTCTTATTCTAATTTCTTTATCCTTTTAATAATATAATATTTTCATATTCTAATTTCTTTTATGTTTTAATAGAATATATTTTCATATAATACATGAAATACGTAAGCCAAAAGATTATCAATAAAGAAAAACTAAAAATAACACGTGTAAGATCTACACTCAAAATAATAATAATAATAAATGAACACACATTCCCATAATAATTGCACTTTTTAAAGTCAAAAAATAAAATTCGACCAATCAAAAATGAAAAAACAACTAAGCACCCTATCACCACTTACTTACCACCGTCCTCTAGGCTCTAATCATCTGTCACCACCCTTTGTCTGTCAACGCTTAATCCTAACCGTTGATTTCCTTACTCTCCGATCCTCATCGGACGGTCCACACTCCTTCCTGTTCTCTTCTCCTCTTTTTCTCAGCCGATTTAATTTATCACGGGATTTCGCCTTGTTCCAGTGCAGGAAAGTCGTATTCCGCTCTTGAATTATCTTACACTCGAATGGTACTACTTAAAATTCCAATCAATCTTTCAATATCTTTTTCTAATTTTCTGTTTGGTTCGTGAGAAAGTTTGAGAGAACAATTTATTATTTTATTCTCACTTTTGATCAATTTGTCACACTTTTACTTTAAATTATTTTATTTAGGAAGATAGAACAACTTCTGTTTATGGTTCTTATTTCTTTAATGTAAATCAAATTTTTATAAAATTGCTTTGTGTAAGTATGTTAATTATGTTAAATTTTGTTTAGGTTAAACGTAACTTTTCTGTGATTTGAAAGATTTTCTTGCATTTTCTCGGAAACCAAACTGGTGAGCTGTGAAGTTGAAAGTAGTTAATATATGTATATATGTTTTTAAATTTTTATTTAAGAGAAAAGTTCTGATTTTGAATCTAATTTTGTTTCTTGTATTTTCTCGGTTGCCAAACAGAGTGTTAAGTTACTTCATTTATGAATTGATAGTGCTTGCATCAAGTTGAATCTGAAAGCAGCCATTGCTGTAAACTGTCAAGAGAGTTGGTTTTTTGAAATTTGTGATTTTATGTATAAAGTATTGAAGAAATAATGGATGGAATACATGGAAGCAATTCCCAAATGCAAATGAATGAGGGGCAGCATCCAATGCATCATGTGCATTACGCACAAGAACACGAATTGCATCATATGAGCAATGGGGATGTGATGGATGATGAGCATGATGATGATCGTAATGGTAATGTTGGTGGAGGTGAGACTTTGGAAGGGGAGGTGCCGTCTGATCCTGGGAGTCTTTCGGATAATCGTGGCAATGGTGATAATGGGGATCAGCTAACATTGTCATTCCAGGGTCAGGTTTATGTGTTTGATTCGGTTTCACCTGAAAAGGTGATTTTCAGTTCTCTTGCAATTGTATACTTTGTATTGCTATTGCTTTGATTGTCTTGTTTGATTGTTTGGTGTTGTATAATTTGAAATTTATGGGTATAACTAACTATAACTAACTTCAGTTAGAGGATATTGAGAATCTTTATGTGATGTTTGAAGTGAAAAGATGTGTTTTACTTTTTACACAAGGTTTTTTATGCACCATTGTTTTCAAAATGGTGATCTTTAAACTTTAAACTATTAGGACTTTATGAACCCAAATATAATATATTTCCTGATTTCCTGATGGGAATATTGTACTATCTTACAATCCTAAAACAACAAAGGGTATGAACCACCATCGCAACATGTAGGGTTAGGTAATAATTGTTGGATAAGATTAGAATCAAACTGACATGCCTTAAAAAGAAATATTCCCATAGTAATCTTTTAAAGAATATGGCATATTTGCTTTATGGATTGTTGTGGTAAAGTTAGAAGTACAATTGGATGAGATAATTTTATGATAAAAAGAAGATGACAAAGTAGATGAGTGCAACTTCGCTTTATTGATTGAAAACCAAGTCAAATGATTAGGATTCTAATCTTGCATACTACATCTTGGTAGATACCTCTTATAAATGAGATATGTACCATTTGAGCTCCATTTATAAGTTTGTCTGATGAAATTTACATTTTTATTTGTTCAACATTTTAATATAGAAAAAAAAAGATCTACAAGGAGGAGTAAACACTTTAAAGCAAAGGAACTTTTATATTCTTCTATCAAAAATATAACTTACATGTTCAGATGTTATTCTCTTAATGTGAGAGGAAAGCCATAGTTCCAAATAAGAGTACCTTCTGTACAATGTCCTGAATTGGATAATGCATCAATTACTTGAATATGATTCTTATAATTCATGACCTTCATTTTCATCTTCGAATTGCCTTGCATGCCTATCTACTTTGATCAAAACAATCTTTTCATGATTCTCTCTATCTGTAGACATGCTTTATTAAAAGAATTATTTAATAAATACCAATATTATCAGTTATAATTTGTAGGTCTTATGATTCTTGGGCTGATGTTGAAGATTCCACAGCAAACCAAGGTAGAATCTGCATAATGAATGTGAGGTGCCACAATAAGAATAGAGTACCAACTGTGGTTATATTTTGATTTGATGTGAATTGAATCTCCTAGAGTCGATTAAAGCTATTGCTAGTTTCAACTATATAAGCTATTCAGAAACTACGGAAGATCATATTTTAAAGTTTCAATTAAAAAGCTAAATCAGTCTTTGTTTTCTTCATGATTTTTTGTACTTCTTTTTTTTACGTGTGTTGTTTCATACGTAATCTTAAAGTGTGAGGCTATTCTGTACCACATCCCAACTGTGGTATGCACCATGTCTCTCTTTTTCCCCTGGAATGTGTTTTTTGAAAACTTAGCTGACACAAAATTCCTGTAAGAGAGTTATTAATTCTTATCTTTGCTGTTTCTGGTGTGGAGTAAGTATCTCTGATTATGTTTAGGGCTTTCCAAAAGGATGAATGGGTGTTATTGAGATGAGAACAGAAGGATGTGTAAATTGCTTCTCTTTTCTTGATTCCGGATTTGGGATAAGAGCATGGAGACCTTTCAATGGTCAGGGGGTGACTTCATGCAGTGTGTTCCAAATATTTTGTGGTCCTCTTACTTTTTTTTTATTGTAGAGAGTTGTCTTGTTCTTCTTTGACTTTCCTTTTGTATATGGAATATGTGTACAGTTTAAGCTAATTTGTATTGTATTGTATGACTGTTATATTCTCCTTTTTCATGGCCTTAGCACTTTTTTGTTTACTTTATAATCTGTTGGAAAGTAAGTTATTATTATGTGATAGACCCCAACTCATCCAACAAAATTCACAAAAGGAAATATAAGGGCAAATGGCATGGTGTGCAAGTGGGAGTTCGTTATCCACATGGCAATTACAATGGAATTGGTGTGACGTTTGTGAGTATAAATTGAGGGATAGGAATTGTAAGGGTGGAGAATATTTTGGTGGGATATTGGAAGGGAGGCCCCTAGCTCCTCGAATTGCTGTTATCTTTACATTCAGTACTGTTTTCTTAATGTTCTTCATTATTATTGTTACTCATTTCTATATCAATCAATATAGAGGTATATTCATATTAGTGCTTTCTTAATTGTCTCTGATCTGTGTTGGAATATGTTTTGTTGGGAATACTGTACTTTGTGGGTTGTGTTGAGTGTTAAGAATCCAGGTTTTATCATTATGCAGCTACAATTGGTGATTCCCATAATTGAAAATTGTTTGGAAGTGAAAGTTGATGCAAGACATGCTTTTTGACATGGTTGTTTCTCAAGCAAAACAAACTTCATTTTGTCTGTTGTGGCTTGTTCTTATTCTGCATTTTATTAAAGAATGGTTTGGTTTAATCCTTGCTGCCATTTTTTGCAGGTTCAAGCAGTATTTTATTATTGGGGCGTGAAGTACCTCCAACTATGCCTGCCATCCCTATGACTAGTCATCATAAATCGGGTACTTTATTGACCTGATCAGCTGATTATTTATATTTCTTTGTCTCTTTGAATTGTTTTTCTAACCAATCATTGAACCAGGGGCTTCCTGGTACTCCCCAACGATTAGTGTGCACAGAGATTAGCCTCGCTGATTAGATTTCGTGAAAAGCGGAAAGAGCGAAATTTTGAAAAGAAATTCGTTATACTGTTCGTAAAGAAGTAGCACTTAGGTAGGACGTGTCGTTATAATTTGAATTAATTCTTTCTTTATGTGCTTAATTTTTAGTGGGACAGTTATTTTACCGTTGTTCATCATGGACTGGTATAAAAGTCATGCATCTCATTTGGAAGATCATCCTGTCATTTGAACTATTTATGGTGCTTGATACTTGGTTATAACAATTGAAGTTATGGCCTCCAATATATAGCCTCATACTGATAGAGATGCCTAGAACTACTATATTAAGTATTGAAATTTGACTTTTGTGGAGGTGGTATGATGAAGCATGCTTCTCTACTAGTAATCTACTCTAGAAATCTTTAATTTTCTGCTTTTCGAATAGAGTCAGTTTCCATCATTGGGTTCTATTCCATCTCAAAAGACTACTAGTCCTCACAGTCCATGAGATTTTAACTTTTCCTAGTTTTCATTTGAGAGGGAAATGGACAAGCATGTTGAAGATTTTATACTCTAGTTTGGTGATTGTTGTCCTCATGTAGGAGAGGCCTTACAAGAGAATATGATTAATCAGGCTGTGCTTATTATAAAGAAGTTATATGTTTTACTATCCTTTGGTGAAGTTAGTAAGTTTTTGGGGTTTTGCTGTATGTTCCAAGTTTGTATGATGATACAATTTTTTGTCCTTTCTGGGATTTTGTTTATTAATAATCTTTGCATTTAGTATTTTGATGGTCTACCTGATTATCAATTCTGATGCTATAGTTGCCTGTATTTTTACTTGGTCCTGTTTATTTTTGTAGGATGAAAATAAAGGTCAGTTACTTCTTCAAAGTCAATAATGATGATTCCGCATCAGCAGTTTCAAGCTGGGGATCAAACCATAGCTGGGGTGTGGATGGCAATGGATCCCAAAATCAAGAGACTGTGTAAGTCAATATATATTTTTTTCTCCTGAATTTAGTAATGCTAAGTCTAACAGTAATCAGCTGGGATTTTGAAATTGTCTGAAGTTATATTGGCAAATACTCTTCTATTCTTATAGAAGAAAAATTCTTCTATTGACCTAGAAACTTCAAGACAAAGCAGAATCGGTTGTACCTTGATAGAAATATTTCAAGCTCTGCACGGGGAGAGGGAGCCCTAAAATTTTATGAGCTCTGATTCTAAATCTAAAAGATGTTAGAGACTGTAGTGGCCTATTTTAAAACTGAATGTAAGACTTTATATCATTGCCTTTATCAGTTGGGCTTCTTGCTTCTAATGACCACATGGAGTTGGGAACTCTGTAACAGTCTGTGTGCAATGAACATTATTTTCAAATTTAACCTCATTGAACACTTTACCAGCATTTTGAGATGGATAACTTCTCTTTTTCCTTAATTTCCATGCATGTAATGCAGTCCTTCCTATAGCATTAAACTTATTCTGTTTGAACTTGTTTATATTGATTAATCTTGTGCAATTATGGATTTCAATATTTTAATTTTTTCTTGATACATCAGCTGTCTCACTGTGGTATCAGTGAGAGTCTACACCAATGATGCGACGAGGACCTGAAGGGCCAAGGACCCTTTGCAATGCTTGTGGACTCATGTGGGCAAACAAGGTAAAACACCAAGGGCTTTTTGTGTATCATATAGGAGTTATATTAGTATTTTGTTGCACTGAGTGTATCTCTTCTGGTCCATGTTGGCCCTACACTCTCCATTTGTCACATTGAGTTTTACAAGAGAAACATAACATTCATTGACTTCTTTCTAAGTTTGTTTCTTAAGACGTTAGATGTTTGAAAAAGTCTCTAGAAATAACTGATGGAAAAGGTTTCATGGAGGTTTGGCTTCAGTTTGGAGGGAAAGGACACCTTTTGGGAGAGATGGTGTGAGGGAAATCATGGTGGTGACTGAGTTTGGAGGAACTGGTTTGAGTAACCTTATATATCAACCAGGGTTTAATTAATTTATATTGACTGTTTAGATAAGTCTTGGATAAATGGATTATTTTGGTCTGGTGGTGTGGTGTTGTTATTTCATTTTCATTTCATTTCGTGACCCTTTTAATACATAATTTCTTTCATCCTATTACAACATACCAAATCTGACCTTGTGTGGGTGAACATCTTCTATCTATTTGAGACATTTGCATAGAGCAAGAGCAAACTGTGACGAAAACACTCTAATTCGATAAGTTAATTGACAGGAGTGTAGTTTCTGGTGATGTCTAAACATGTGAGCGACATCGTGAGAGAGAGAGTTATGTAGTTCATGAGAATATGAGCCTGCAATTCATTTGGTAGAGTTGCCTACAATTAT